TTATATTTTTGATCGACGCCTACAAAACAACGCGGTTGTAAACCTAAAAATACATTTCTGTTTATATAATTCTTACTATTCGGAGAGAGAGACGACAGTTTTGATGAAAGGATAGAGAAACCAGAATAGAATGGAGTTTGTTTATCGTACAAAGTTTGCCAAATTTCCTAATGCAAAGAAACGTTATGAGTATCGTATAAAAAACCAATCCATCTACTGACCCAATATTTTTTTTCAAAAGTTCAAGCAAGGACAAAATGTAGATACTTACATTTGTAAATACATGAATAATTAAAAATATTTTAAACAGCAACATAAATAAATACATTTAAAGAATCATAACACAAACATTATTATAAATCGTAACTATGAACACTATTAAACGTGTTCGAAATATATTTAAAAATATTAACAAGTACGGAATTTTGAGACATTCCAAACACAGTAAAACAATTTAATGAGTCGTTCTAGCACAAGTGTACTGTTAAGTAAACAACATCTGGCCATTTCGTAAATATTAACCAGTATCTCTCTTGCCACTTCTGACGGATGTCGGGTTGCAGATTTAGATATATGGCGACTACATCAGGTTCCTTACCCGTTTAATAGTACCACCTCATTATAACAATATAATTTCTTACAATGTCATGCGGAACTGCTAGAAATGATTACGTAAAGTAGAAATTGCGCGGATTTCGTTGTTTTAAACGAGTACAATATGTTGTGTTCTCACAGGTATTTCTCTAGCCACAAGAACTCTCACTCGTAAAAATGAACTGGGACACAATTCTCAATGCTGGTGCAACCTAGATAATACTAAGATATCGTCCCTCCTCCACACAACTCGGTTCTAATTGGTTTTATACACGGTTAAAAAACGCGTTCCGATGTACTTAAAGAACGACAGCGAAATCCTGTTAAGTTTCATTATCTAAATATTTGTACTTAATTCAGTTAATCTTAACCTGTTTGTACTATTAGTATTAATTCGGTATATCCGGATTAAGGTTAATCTTTTAATTGCTTGATTTTAGTAACTGTTGATACCAGTCATTGTTAAGTCGAAGTATTGCTGATTATTAATAAATTCATAGAAAAATTATAGGCTCGCGTTACGATTTGCGTTGTAATTTCATAAAGAATGTCTAGAAAAAATAACTTAACGTAAACAGTATTAAAAAGATTGACAAAATAACACTGAATAAGTCGCTATTAAAACATTTTTGTAAGCAATTTTTAGATTATAACAAAGAAACAGATTATGTATTGCTAAAAGTGTCTGTTTATCAATAACGTCGTCTTCTTGTCAACATGTTTTGAATGTAAGTAATAGAAACTTCAAAATTTCTTTATATTTAAGCACAATTTACAAAATTGTATCTGAGAAAGATTAAAATTTGAAAATAATAAATTGATATACATAACTATTAGTAAAAAATTTTCTAACGTTTAGTAATAAAGAATAAAATAAGTGGCGCTTCTACGAATTTTATATTAAATTTCTAATTACAAAACAAATCAAGTGATAATGTCCCATTGTTACGTCGCGAATAATGAAGGGATATGTACACTCAACTGTCATGTTTTTCTGTAAAATAAACATCTGTATAAAAAAAAGAGAAGACATTATCAGCAGCGCTTATGAAGTACAATAGTAGTACATTTTTCAAATGAAACTACTGATGTAGGTAAACAAAAATCGCTTTCTATTCTACGGAGAATTTTATTCGACAATCTAACACCGCAAATTTGTATCAAACAATATCGAAACATTGTTAAAATTTGCAAAAAGGAAGACATTTACAAAAAATTCTCAAAATTTGTGCCCTATGAATTGAAATGTATCTAAATCATTTGGATATTATCCAAAAGAGTATAAGAAAATAGAAATCGAAACATTCATACATAAAGCGCAAAAAAGTAAATCACTTTAAATGAAGACGTAATAGTTTCTTTAATTGTGATGGTTTTTGTCTGGTTATTCACGGTTTCTAGAAGAGAAAAACTACTAAATACGATATTAAAAGATATAGAAGATAAAGTTTTATGGTATGGAAAAATCGGCAATATCATTTTATCAATATGGGATTTTTTTTCTTAAAAATATAGACTGCGAACTTCAAAAACCTTTTTTTACATTTTCTCGTCATAATTTATAAAAAATACGAATTAAAGAAAAATACTTTTTTTTCAATCGCATTTTTTATTAACAAATTTTGTTGTTTTAAACCTAATACATCATTCGATTTCTCGGAAAATTTTACTCCAGTTTGGATATAAATACGCTGTTTTCGAAAACAAATAAAGAAGACATATAGGTTCAAATCCCAATTCGCACTAATGTGACCTTTAAGATAGCCCATCCCAACTATGACCTTTGAGAGTTAATTAGCTTGAAAGTGAAATAAATAAATTGTCAAAAATAGGTATACAATAAGCGATTTTTTTGATTAAATTAAAAATAGCTGTACGAAAGATTTTTTTGTTCCACATTTTTTCCAGATGTATTCAAGAAAGCTTCGATTGTATTTTAGATTAGTCACCTGTATTTCAGTATGTCATTTGGATTTCAGAAAGTCTCAAAATGTATTTTAGAATTAGCAAAATTTTAAATTAGAAAAATAATGTCAAAATTAATTTGCAGCACTGAATTATACCCACAATATATTATATCTCACCTACACTCAATACAATTCGCATTTTGTAAAATACGAATGACGTTTTCTGAAAAAAAAAGTTTACTGAAAGAAAAAAAGGCGTAGAACAAAACAATCTTTTCGAGTCCGGTTAACTAAACTGTCTTTTTGACGTTTAGGAAATCAAAAGAATTCAAATGTCAACATGTTACGACACTGCGAAAAATATTTCATGTTTTCGTTACATTTCAATTCCTGCGAATTTTCGCGTCTGTAACGCACTCACGTGAATATAACTCTGTTAAGGGCGTTTTACCCTACGCGACACCTTTGCGCGACGCGACAACGTCGTTGTGTGGGTGTACCCGCTCCAGTAATGCAAAATCTCGTTCTCTGGCCATGACGAGAAATTCCTGATACATGGGTGGCTCGGATGGAGCCTGCGAGCCGGGAAAGTGCTAGGTGAAAATGTTTCTAATTGTTTATATTAAAATACCTTGCATATGATTAATAGTCACGGACCGAGACTAGTTTCCTAATCGGAATTTATCGTAAGAACATATCTCGTTACTCAAAGGTGAGAAACCTCGATTATGTACAAGACGGTTGTTGGTACATTCTAGAGATTTGTTCTTCGATTCAATGTTTGGGACCGTTTGAGAGAAAATTTAAATAACTCGTTATGTCACAGAAAATGACGAAGAAACAAACTGTTCTATTTAAATATGACTAAATACTTATAAATTATAATCTACTACCATAAAACATAAATCTGCTAGTATACAGATAAGGAAAGCAATTGTTACTCCTTTATAACAACCATTATAAATATCTATATAAAATATGTAGGCTAGGGTGGAAAGTTTTTATCTTTCATTTCATAGAAAAGTAGTTTTTCTTGAAAAAATTGTTTCTGATGTAGAAAAATGTAGTTTTAAGCGCATTAACGAGTACAGGGTTCTTACAATATTTTTTTATCTTATCCGATAAACAAACATACATTTTTTTGATCTCGCTAAGGCCTACTTAATTGCTCAGAATTAAAAAAATATGTAACTTTTTAATAATACTTATAGAATTGTTTTTCAAAACCTGTTTCTAAATTTTGAAAAAGAAAAAGATGATCTGGATCTGGGGACACCCTGTACATATTAAATGTTAGAAAAGGACTGTTTTTTTATGTTTCTTATCTAATACAGCGTGTGCGATTTTTTATTTTTCATAAGACGAGAAATAAAGTATTTCCTCTTTTAAACTCTATCCGTGAATACACTGTATACAGCGTGTTCTGGTTTATAGCTGTGTATAACAAAATGAAGTTCAAATATTTATTATTAAATAAACTATAAGAACGAAATTCGTCAAAATTACAAATCCTACACCGATTACGATTTTTTTCGGATATTTTCTGAAAAATACACCCCTCAAAATGCTTCCGAATCAACTTTGTTAAAGTTTACAAATTAAATTGTAACAGTTTCTAGTTATTTTAACTTATTTCTATTAGTTTATTATTATTTTTTTTATTAACTTTTATTATTTTTTTACACAATTAATACGTAATAATTAAAGGCCAAGCCAAGGTGTGGATTATCAAATTTGTTACTAAAATTCGCATAAAAACATAACTAATGCAATTTTTTAGTAATTGGCACCTAAAAGATAGTGTGAATTGTCATAATTCAGACAAGCGAATGGAAAAATGATTATGAAATTATATAAATTGCGTTATATAAAGCTACTCAAAGAGGAAGCGAATGTTCTGAAGAAATGACTTTGTATCCCTTAAAGCAGTGGTTCTCAAAATGTATAGAAGTTGCAACCCGTTCTTTAAATGTTACTTATGCTGATGAACTTAAAAAAAGATTTTTTTTCTAGCAGTTTAGATCGCTTTTGAATTAAGAGAAGGCAAGAGTATCCCGAGCTAGCGTAATATGAAGAAATATTTTCTTATTGATGACTATTATCGAACCAAGAAATAAATCGGAATAGGAAAATAATAGAATTGTATTGTGTTATTTCGAATACGGAATGCAGATTTAGAAAATTAGTTAGTGTCGGCACACAAGCATATTTATTTCTAGGGATTTTTTAAACATGTAAAATAAATACATGTTAATATATTTTCTAAAACCATTAGCGACTCTTTAGGAGGTCGGAATCCACACTTTGAGAACCACTGCCTTAAACCACTCTTCTTTACACGGTTTATTTAACAAAATATACATCCTCCGAAAAGGCACTTAGTGCAATAAATACATTTCCCCGTGCAACACTACGTTCTGCAAGACAACACGCCATTCTGCACAATACACGCTCAATCTTCAATACCTCCCGCAGACAGAAAACACCTCGGGAACATACCTAGGCCACTGGTTGGCCGCCGCGAAGATATTCCACCAGGACGGCCTCTTCTGCCTCGCCTCTCCCGGTAATCCCGATTCCACCACCCCCTTCCGCCTCTTCCTCTCGAACTTGATGGCGTGCCACGACTTCCTGCGGCCCTTCTTGTCGGCCATCTGGACCGCCTCCTCCTCTATGTTGGGCCACGATGCGTCGTGGTGGCAGGGTATGTCGCCGGACTCCTCGATCCAGGGGTCCTTCTCGTGGACCACCTGCAGTACCTCCTGGCTCATCATGGCGCCCAGCAATTACATGGCACCACGTCCGGAACACTTGGGAAAACGGCTTGTGTAACGGCACTCCGCTGGTTACTTTCACACAACCGGCGTAGCGGAACAACGGCGACTCTCTCTCGAGCCGACAAAAAAAAAAAAAGGAAAAAATCCAACTGCAACAATGGAACGACTGTCGCGGCCGAAGTTTTATCACTGTGGAGTCGTCGGTACTCTCTGGGTTGGTACCCCAGGTTAGTCCGTGTCGTCGGTCGGGCTGTTCGCGGTGCACTAACCTGGTGAGCTGTCGATGGTGACGGTCTGCGGCTCTCGGTGCAGCCGAGGCGGTCGCAACTTTCACGCGGGGCCCCGCCAGCAGCGGCGCATGTACACGGCGGCCAAACAAACGACGGTCGGAAACGCGCCCGGACGCGAGTCCAAGCATTCTGTCACGGATTAATGTTAAATTTGCAGAAATTATTACCTAGACAAAAAAAATATGACCGTATAGAAAATTAAATTTTAAATTGATTTTCTTATTCTTTAAACTCGATCCAAAATGGCGAACATGGTTAAAAAAATCGCAAAGTTGAAAAAAACGGTTTTTCTTAAATAACTAAAAAAGTATAGCACGGATTGAAAAATTTTAAATGAGAAAGTTGTAGGTTTTAATAAGATCTATCGACTGATTTTTTGAAAGTATCGATTGCTTTGTTACTTTTCGAGATATATCGAAAAAACCATTAAAAATCTGCTCTTTTGTCTTCTTCTATAACTCGTTTACATTTACGTGCCCATATTTGCTATTTACTGCAAGCATAGCCCGCGGCATGCCAAAAAAGTACATTTTTGAAATATTTAAAAATATTAATTATTTTTCGAGATATATCGATTTTTTGAAAAAAAGGCGCTCTCGAAAATTGGCTAGATCTTCTCAGCGGATAGCCCTACAGTAACGATTTTCGGTTTATTTTCTTCGTAAAGAGTTATATTATCATGCTGTTAAAAAATGTTGACGATTTTATTAATTTTAAGGATAAAAAAATGACTGAAAAAGTTGCACTTTTTTGGGTATGTTTTCTTTAAATAACTATTTCAATTTTTATTATTTTTTTGTACTTAATCTGGGGTAGCTAAACACGAATATTATAGCATGTTCGCCTTAGAAGCAAAATAGACCCGTAAAGGTTTAGTTTTCATAAAATAAAAATTGAAATAGTAATTTGAAAAAAACATACCCAAAAGAGTACAACTTTTTCAAAGTCATTTTTTGATCCTTAAAATTAATAAAATCGTCAACATTTTTTAACAGCATGATAATATAACTCTTTACGAAGAAAATAAACCGAACATCGTTACTGTAGGGCTATCCGCTGAGAAGATCTAGCCAATTTTCGAGAGCGCCTTTTTTCAAAAAATCGATATATCTCGAAAAATAATTAATATTTTTAAATTTTTCAAAAATGTACTTTTTTGGCTTGCCGCGGGCTATGCTTGCAGTAAATAGCAAATATGGGCACGTAAATGTAAACGAGTTATAGAAGAAGAGAAAAGAGAAGATTTTTAACGGTTTTTTCGATATATCTCGAAAAGTAACAAAGCAATCGTTACTTTCAAAAAATCAGTCGATAGATCTTTTTAAAACCTACAACTTTCTCATTTAAAATTTTTCAATCCGTGCTGTATTTTTTAAGTTATTTTAGAAAAACCGTTTTTTTCTACTTTGCGATTATTTTTAACCATGTTCGCCATATCGGATCGAGTTTAAAGAACAAGAAACTCAATTTAAAATTTAATTTTCTATACGGTCATATTTTTTTTGTCCAGGTAACAATTTCTGTAAGCATTTCTCTATAATGCTTGGACTAAGGAGCACCAATCGTTGTATCATAGTAAATGTAAATCAGCAAAATCCGTAGCAGTCCGTAACACGAACTACAAAATCCTTAAAAATTAAACACGAAATACTTGAAAATTGTTCATTTTCCTCCTTCTGAGGTTGACCATTAGCTTATAAAACCACTGATACTGATAAATAAGCTTGTTTTATTTACTTGAGGTCTCAGATAATCTCATCTAATTGGAACAGCATACATAATAATAATTATTATACAGGGTGTTTCTAAAATAGGGTTCCAAACTCCTGCTGCGTTTATAACTCATTAAAGTAAGCCAAAAAGTTCCTATTAACATGTGCCCTAAAACGCACCCTTAGGAAGTTATATGCCCTTAAAAGGGCTCAAAAAAACTGGTTTTTGGCATAATCAATTTTTATATGTAATTTCGTCTCTGCAGGACCCTCATCTACTTCATGTTTTTGAATACGACCTTGCAAATTTTAGTACATTTTTTGCAAGCCTTCACGACCCCCAATACTGTACCGAGTCAGCCCAAACCAGATTCAAACGTTTTGTCTCGAAAAACTCATCCCCAATGTATTCGTTCCAAATTTATCTAATTTTTTATTTAGGTTTCTATATTTATTGAATCTCTAGTGTCGTTAGACCCTGTGAAAGCCACCTAGTTATTTAAACTATTACCATCACAAGTTATAATAAAACATTATTGGAGTTTAATCTCCATCACCTCGTCATACAACAACCAAAACTCCAAATGAATATTATACTTTAAAAAATTACAGTAAATATTTAAAAAACGTTTCCGTTTTGGCAAATGTTCAAAATGAAGATGAGCATAATATGATCGGAATTTATTATACCTGTACCCGCAACTGTGAAAGAGCGTCAGATGCATTTGTATTAATATTCTATTATCCTCAAACAAGGATGAAATTAAACGAAAACTTTTTTCCAAAATGTCGTTTTTTTTTCAAATATTTCGAAAAACTAATCATGTTAGCCTTGATTTTGTAGAGGTATAATGTTGGTCTCCTGATTACGCAACTTTGCCCCCATTTAAGTCCTGATTACGCAATTTTGCCCCCATTTAAGCTACTTCGTATCTCTTACCGTTCCCGAGACCCCTGTAGTGAGAAGCGATTTTGTAACAGCCTGTATATGATTTCATCTTTTCTCCATACAAATTTTTCTATTCGTGGACTATGGTAAGGCGTATTATCCATGACAATCACTACTCTAGGTTCGATTTGACACAAAATAGACGCAATGTAAAAATAATAACACGGTTTTCCTAATTGTACGTCTATGACACTATGTCAAAATTATTTTTATCGATTAAGAAACAGCAAATATTGTGGTTTAATTTATTTATTACTCTGCAGGCTAATTTGTTTGGTAACAGAATATAGACTGTAATTATTACATTATTCAAATTTGGAGACTTGGAGATAATAAGAGCATTTTATTTTTGCAAAAATACTGGTAAGATTAATTAGTAATTCACTAGGTCCAAAAACAAGGAGAAAAAAAAGCAGACTTGGATAATGCAAAATCTGGAACCGGAAGAATTTCCAAAATCGTCAAAAATAGATTTTTTTGAAAATTTTTTTTCTCGTTATTTTATCATTTTCTAGGTTGAAAAAAATCTCGATTCTGAAAATTTCAAATCGATATTTTAATTTCTAAAGGTCGCTCATAATTATTTTAACTTTAAAAGTAGTGTACCTAAAATGTTTTCGAGCGACCTCTAAAAATAAATATCAATGAACTAATAATTTTTTTATTGAATTTGATGAAAAGAATAGAATAAATCACAAGACACTTAAAAAAAATTCTCTAGGCAAAATTTACTACCGCACTGTATCAAATATTTATAATTTTTTAATTTTTTTAAATTTGAGTTTTCTCGTGATTTATTTCTATTCTTTTATTCATCCAATTCAATAAAAAAAAATTATTACTTCGTTGATATTTATTTTTTAGAGGTCGCTCGAAAACATAGGTACACTACTTTGAAAGTGAAAATAATTATGAGTGACCTTTAGAAATTAAAATATCGATTTGAAATTTTCAGAATTCAGATTTTTTTCAACCTAGAAAATGATAAAACAACGAGAAAAAAAAAATTTAAAAAATCAATTTTTAACGATTTTTGACATTTTAAAAATATTGAGTGACCTCTAAAAAATTTTTTTTGAGCTGATTTTTTGAGGGGACTCTTAAAACATGATAAACTAACATATCTTCACAAGAGACACGAAAAAAATATATTCGTTTTTTTTTTGGGCTACCCTAAAATACATGGTCACGTACCTTTACCTACGTCCATGGCAATATAAAATATTAATTGATGGGTCACAAACGAAGCCTTCCAGGAACTACTATAGCGTATCAAATTTCAATAAATTATCTTTTCCTGTCATTACATTAAAATAAACTAAGTAATTTACACTAAAAGAAAGGCTTATACACTCGAAACAAATAGTATAGAAAACTAAAGATGCTGAATAATTTAACACTTTTATCCAAATCTGAAGTCTTTTAAGCTGCATTCTCCCCCCCCCTCCAGATTTTGCAAAAATCTCAAAATAATTACGAAAAATCACCAAAAATAGCGAAAAATCGACATAAATCACGTTAGAGCGCGCAATTTTTGCCAATTAATCAAAATTTTGGGGGTGTTTGAGCTAAACAGACTTCAGATTCGTATTCAGCACCTCAAAATACATAAAGCCTATAGGATCAAATCAAAAGTACAGACCACTTTTTTTACGTGTCGCTGTAATTATTCCTATTTAATAAAATACGATCATAAACACCCATATTTACTTCTATTTTCCGCGGGCAAACACAGTTGACATAAATTACCAGACAATTAAATATATCCGCACAAGTTTATAATACAATTCGCAGTTTTACACATAAAGCATTTGCGCTTATTAACGTTTTATGTGCACTAATAAACTTTAATGGCGGCAATAACGTATCTCGAAAATACGGTACGCACAAGTTGTCACTTAACTGGAGACACATGACGGCTGGATCGTTTTCCACGGTGACATTCAGTTCTCGTTCACCCGTTAGGTTCGAGATTTTTAGTTCTCGTAATGGGGCGATCGATCTTGATGGTTGTCGTTGCGCGGAGCGGTTCTATAAATTATCTTGCTTCATATACAAAGAAAAAAATAAAAGAAATAAGTACGAGTCTAGACGTATGCGAGTTTGAAACGATTTGGCATTACCAACATAGACTTTTGAATAGCAGTAAGTTGGTCTGAATAGGGGGAAAAAAATCGCAACAAAGTCAGTTGACATCGGAAAGACTATACGTAGGTACACCTAGTGACTTATTACTTTTTAAAGAGTAGTATGGTGCCTACTAATTTAAAATGCCAGTACGGCTAAAAGAGCACTCATCCGTCCATAGCACTTTGTTAATAAAATGATGATTCAC